CCTCCATCCAGACTCCTTTTCCACACAGACAACTCCTTCATCAGCCTCCCCCTCCAGCTCCTCCAGTCCAGCAGAGAGACATAGTCCCTCCATGTTGTCCTCATCCTCCTGGTCCTCCTCCTGTTGGGACGTCCCTGGAAGCCTTTAGAAGGAGCCTTTCCATCAGATAAAGATGTCTGATCCTCCCCTTGATGACCCAGCTCCTCCCCCTCTCTCTAAGGGAGAGCCCAGCCTCCCTGCAGAGAAAGCTGGGATCAAGGATCTGGTTCTTTGGGTCCTGATCCAGATTAATGACCAGAGGTGAGGCTAGGAACGTACACTGATCGCTAAATCAAAGCGTTGCCTTTTCTCTAAGCTCTCTGAACCACGGCAGATGGAGCAGCATCTGCATTATAGCAGCAGCACCAATCCATCTATAGATCAGTCTATAGATCCATCTATAGATCAGTCTATAGATCCATCTATAGATCAGTCTATAGATCCATCTGTAGATCCGTCTATAGATCAGTGAATAGATCAGTCTGTAGATCTGTCTATAGATATGTCTATAGATCCATGTATAGATCAGTCTACAGATCCATCTATAGATCAGTCTTGAGATCAGTCTATAGATCCATGTATAGATCAGTCTATACATCCGTCTATAAATTGGTCTATAGATCAGTCTACAGATCAGTCTATAGATCCATCTATAGATCAGTCTTGAGATTAGTCTATAGATCCGTCTATAGATCAGTCCATAGATCAGTCTATAAATCAGTCTATAGATCAGTCCATAGATCAGTCTATAGATCCATCCATAGATCTGTCTATATATCAGTCTGTAGATCAGTCCATAGATCAGTCTATTGATCAGTCTATAGGTCAGTCCATAGATCAGTCTATAGATCTGTCTATAGATCAGTCTATAAATCAGTCTATAGATCAGTCCATAGATCAGTCTATAAATCAGTCTATAGATCAGTCCATAGATCAGTCTATAGATCCATCTATAGATCTGTCTATATATCAGTCCATAGATCAGTCTATAAATCAGTCTATAAATCAGTCTATAGATCAGTCCATAGATCAGACCATAGATCAGTCTATAGATCCATCTATAGATCAGTTCATAGATCCGTCTATAGATCGTTCTACTGATAAGTCTATAGATCTCTCTATAGATCTGTCTATTGATCAGTCCATAGATCAGTCTATAGATCAGTCTACAGATCAGTCTATAGATCAGTCCATAGATCAGTCTATTGATCCATCTATAGATCAGTCCATAGATCAGTCTATAGATCGTTCTACAGATAAGTCTGTAGATCCATCTATAGATCTGTCTATATATCAGTCCATAGATCAGTCTATAGATCAGTCCATAGATCCGTCTATAGATCAGTCCATAGATCAGTCTATAGATC